AGGAGGAACTTCTTCACCCAAAGGGTTGTGAATCTGTGGAATTCCCTGCCCAGTGAACCGGTTGAAGCTACCTCACTGAATGTTTTTGAGGCAAGGCTAGATAAATTTTTGAACAGTAAAGGAATTAAGGGTTATGGTGAGTGGACGGGTAAGTGGAGCTGAGTCTCAAAAAGATCAGCCGTGATCTTATTAAATGGCGGGGCAGGTCTGAGGGGCCAGATGGCCTACTCCTGCTCCTGGTTCTTATGTTCTTATGTTCTAAAGGCACAATTTTAGAGAGACACAATGGGGTGGAAATAAGTGCCAAATATGGTGGTGGAGATGAAGAAAGGACAGCCATCAGAATGGAAAGACACTGATTTTACTAGATTTCCTACCTGTTTAATTAGACAAAGAATTTTGCAGGGAAACCTCAACGTGACAAAAATAGTCAGGAGATTTTTTTAAATAGTTAACAAGTACTAATTTGAATAGATTTTGAGTTGCAGTGAACACATTAATAGACTTACCAATTAGAGTCTGATTCATGCAAGCATTTGCTCCAGTTTTATATACTGGATTCATTCATTAAACCTTCAAAACATAAGACATTACAGGAAAGGGTATTTACCTTATGAATACCAGAAGTTTATAGCCATTCTCTCTTTTTAACACCTCCAATATGCAACACATAAATCTGCAAAGATGACTAAATTTGGCTAGTTTCCCAGAAATAGGAAACAACATTTTATAATCTCTTTAAAAGAAGTATTTTATGTGATTTTTTATGTATTGAAAGTCTACAAACCATCACCCTTTCTATAAACTATTTCTGAGCAGCCAATTCCATCCTAGGAAACAAAACAAAATTAGATTATCTAAACCACAAATTAAGAAAAAAAGTGATGAAATCATGTAGGTCTAAAAAAGTATCTGCTTCCACGGATAATTAACCATCACAAATTGCTGTCCAATATCTGTAAACGTACAAGTGGTCTGCAGTTAGTGCCATCTCTCAATGTCAGTGATGAAGATCATGAAATCACACCAGAAAACAAAACACAAAATATCACTCCCAGAACTGTCACTAACCAGTTTAAATTCCTAAATACAAAAAAGAGAGACACCAAAAAGATGCACTCCTTCTCAACAAGTTTACTTCTTGTATTTTGACAATGCAATTAGTTTCAGACACAGAGAGCGCACGTGAGAGGGAGGGGCACGGGGAGCGGGCGCGCGCGCGAGAGAGAGAGACAGCTAGCACGCGCAAGAGAGAGACAGAGACACACAGCACGTGCGAGATAGAAAGACACGAAGCGCGTGTGCGCGCGTGCGAGAG